CTCACTCACTCATCTGCACTCCAACAGAAGGGAAGGGACAGGGCAAAGGAAGGGCATATGCTTTGTTCTTAAGGGCACCACCCAGAGTTGCATACATACCTTTCTCTCTCATGCCGTGGGCCAGAATTTAGTCATATGGTCACATCTTCCTATAGGGGAGGCTGGGTATTGTTCACTTAAACACCTCGGTTTGCTTACCATGACAGTGAGGAGAAAACGGTTATTAAGGATAACTAGCAGTGTGTCATGTAGCCAGCTTGAAAGAAAAGCTCCATTTGTCATTTCAATTGCAATATCATTTGTTTGCTGTATTATTATGTGAATTCTAAATGATTTTGTTTTTTCAGTGTTCAATAATATTGAAACATTTGATTCACATGGTTAATAAACATTTAATCTATAGCCCACAGGCCCAAGATTCATTTCTTGGCAGGCATCATGTATTTTTGCTTTTTGGGACAAATCACTCTCTGTTTTTTCTCTCCCCTTCTACGTTTTTTTTAACTGCCCATATGTTTTAGAAACTGGTGTAGTGGCATTCTGTTTCAGTTGATTACAATTAGAACTCTTAAGCTAAAAGTGGGGAATACATTTATAAGACTTATGAAAGTCTTACACACACACACACACACACACACACAACCCTCTTTCTGTCCCTCTTTTCTTTTTTTTTAATCTTTTTTTATTTTATTTATATTTTATTTTATTTATTTTTTTATTATTTTTATTTTGTCAATATACAATGTAGTTGATTATTATGTCCCATCACCGAAACCTCCCCCCCCCCCCCCTTTATCTTTTTTTTTTTTTTTTTTGTCTTTTTGTCTTTTTCTGTGTCTGGCAACGGATCGCAACCCTCAGTGTTGCCCCCGTACCGGACCGGGGACCGGCAACGGGATCGCAACCCTCGGTGTTGCTCCCGCGCCTCGCTCAGCCAGTGAGCGGGAACCGGTCTGTATGTGGGATCCGAACCCTCGGGCGGGAGCACCGCTGCGCTTCCCAAGCGGTGCACTATCCAGTGCGCCACCGGGCCGGCCCCCTTTATCTTTTTTTTTTTTTTTTAAATTTTATTTTGTCGATATACATTGTGGTTGATTAATTTTCAAGAGAACACAGAGGATGTTTTTTCACTTAGCATCTAGCATAATGACTGGTACATGTTGAATGAATAAGTAAAAATTAGTCCCATAATTTGAACATTTAGGGTTATTTTTTCATAAACCAAAAATGTTCGTCCTAAATATTTCAGGGGATTCCATCACTTGTAAGATCAACATTTTCTAAGATCATGGTTCTTAAACTTGATGCAGGTAACAGTCATCTAAGCAGAGTACAAACGCCACAGATTTAGGTAGCCCGGGGTGAGGCCTGGCAATTAGCATTCTCAAAAGGTCTTCCTGTCCCTTTCCATCTCAGAGACTTGATATACTTGCTTCTCTTTATTTTCAAAAGGTGTTCCAATGGACTGCTCAGTAGACTGTCTTTCTTCACCCTCAGCTGGGACACGCGTGTGGCTACCAGCCTGAAAGACAGAAGGGAGGTTCTGACCATGATTATTAAACACATCTCATATTTCCTCTTGGGGTCTCAATTTTCTCAATTGTAAAACGGCCAGGTTAGAATCAATGGTCTCTAACATGTTTGGGCTCTACCACTGGTAGACTGAAATATATTAAGTTAGATGGGTCTCTAGGTAGTTAATTAGTGCTAATCTATCATTAAAGAACATTATTTTCGAGTTCATTTTTGATTACTCACTATGTAGAAGTCATTTAAAATAACTTATAAGTTATTCAAATACTATTCTTCACTGAAAACTTTCTGTGCCAGTTTTATGAAGATATCACTTGATACGTATGTTGGATACTAGTTGTTAACTTTTAATTGACAATTACTTCTAAACTCTGGCTGTGGTCATTTTGCATATGTAAAGCAGCAACTGTCTCAGCAATTAAACTTGAAGGTGCAGAAAGACCCTTGCTCAATCAAATTTCCTTTTATTAAATTTCCAGCTGCCCTTATGGGAGACAGAAGACCTTGGTGAATACATTAGCAATTATTTGTATACTGGGTTCATCGGCTCTCAGAGTTCAGGCCCTGAGGAAGAGGACTCAGGATAGAAATATTTTTCTGGAAGCTGAGGAAGGAGGTCTGGAAAGTTTTAGAGCATGGGAGGAGAGCCTGAAAATGTCAAGGCCTAATGAGCAGGAAGGTATGGATACCTAAGAGAAGGTGTCAACGATGTGAGAGAAGATGACCCTGCCTAGTTGGAAAGAAAGAAATGGCAATGCTTACCTAATTCAGAATGTTATCATGGAGGCAGCCTCAAAGTCAAAAGGAAGGGCAAATAAGGAACATGATACAAAGTAGGAGAGTGTAATGTGGCAGATAATTTCAGATTTTTTTCTACTTGAGGGCTCAGGGGTAAGTCATAATAATTCCCACAGGGAAGATTGGTTTTCTTGCTTCTTGTATTAATTACCACCTTACTTTCTCTAAGGTGGATCCCATGTGGGAGAAGCATTGCTTATTGTTTAATTTCATTTCACTTGCACTGATGCATCAACACTGATAACATGGTAGCATCAATCAGCTCAATTATTTCTCAAGATTACAGGTACCAGGGTCAATGATCAAACTGAAAATTGTTCTTGTAGTCAAGAGTATGATAGTCTATGTTCAAGAGTGGAGAAAAAGCATGGAAAATATATAGTGAATATGCAGGCTTCTGGACCACAGCCAGTGAATATTTGCTTTTCCATTTTGATAGCTTTATTACGTGAGTCTTATATGCAATCTTTACAGAAAATTTTGATAATTTTTTTAATCTTCAAAAAGGAACATATATGCTTAGTTATTAAGGAAAAGTCAATTTGTTAACTTTTCAATTGCTAATTGTCAATCACAAATCTTGTATTTTTCCTTATGTGGTGTAGGAATACATACATAGTTTAAAATTATTTCTAATATTTATTAATCTAAAAGAAGTGCAATTTTCTGGCAACATAATTTAATCAAACTTTAAAATAGTATTCTACAGTCATAATTCAAAATAGTTATGCAATGCTGGCTTAATTGATTCAATTGATTTAGTTGTTTTTAAAAATCTGATATCTAGATTTTAGTGTATAATGCCTACTTGGTTTTTGTGGGGGTTTTTTTTTTAGCACAAATTTTAGTTCTGCAAAACTCAAATATTTCCAACTGGTCAAAAATCAGAACCTAATCCTTGATATGGCCCCTTGATCTAAGAAAGATCCTCTCCAAAAAATCTGGTTATGTATATGTATATATATGAAACTTTTTTAGTTGGCTATGTTTTTATTCTAGAATTAACCCTTTGTTATGTAGTATTTGCAACTGCATTTTTTAAGTAGGCAAATCTAATTAAATTGCCCTTAATTTTTTAAAAATGTAAGAATATATGGATTAATAGGACAGTTGGAAATAAACAGTCCAAAGGACATTTAAAGCATGTGTGGAGTAATATATTTCCCCACCCAAGAGACATATTAAAGAAGAAAATCGTGTTGCTCAATAAATATTTGTTGAGTAAATGAACCTCAAGGAAGACGTCTGCCTCCAAAGCAAGGTTATTTTACCTCTTGGTCCTAGGTAAGGAGACACTTTCCCACCCTCACTACCCCAAAATGGTCTTCAGATTCCTTTTGAATTTTCAATTCTCTGGCTGGACCTTCCTGATGGCAAAAATTTCTGATATTTAAATTAGAATTTCTTCAGTAAGCTGTTTGTTAATTTGATGGTTTTTCTAGATAATGACAATTTTAGAAATGTTTTTAAATGTTATTTAAAATGAGACATAATACATTTTTCTGTTTTCATCTGGACATTTGAACATAGTTACAGAGAGATTTTTTTCCTCATTGAGGGAAAATTTGACCAATGGAATAAAATATTTACTAAAGATTTTCAGCAAATAAATATATATTATATATATATATATATACACACACACACACACACATAATGACTATATATATATATATATATATATATATATATATATACACACATACACGCACACATAATAACAAGCTCATAGCTCAGCATGCTAGTTTCTACCATAAACTGATGTCATCAGTGAGGCTTCTACCAATGTTGCCAATGTCTGTATCAACCAAGAAACCTTGGAACCCTCAGGATTCCCAGAAAGACCATTCCAGCATGGACAGGTAATGTTTGTGACAATACTGTTTGCTTCTCCAGTGTTACTCAACAGCAGTGCTCTTGGTTCAGTGTTTATTGAACAAGTATATGTACAAGGGTTCTTTAAAAAGTTCATGGAAAAATAGAATTGAAAGACAACACAAATCTTTCCATGAACTTTTGAAGTACTCTTGTATATAATAATATATTAACAATGGTATATATGTAATTGAAATGTTTGGTTTTATTCTTACTATTTTTATTTAAATCCTTTTTAGGTGACACAAAATATTTCCAGTGACTGGTCTTTGTGGAAAATCTCCCTTTTTGTTTCTTAGCCTGTGTAATAACAGAAATTGGAGTACTTATAGCATGCCTCATCAAAAAAGACGGAAGTAACACTGGTCCCATTATTATCCATCTACCCCTCGATGATGTGGAACCTATAATAATCACTCTCAGAACAGTCTCACTGTCTACCTTTCAAAGTAAATGACCAACACAATGAAACTAACTTCTATGGCCAAATCAATTGTACCTACAGCTACCACAGCTGACAACTCCATTGCTTCCACTGCATTTATTTATCATAAAGCCCACCACCATCATATCACCTGAACTTACAACCAACAATTTCAACTGAACCTACAAACACAGCCACCACAACCTCCACTCCAATTGAAGCTAGTCCCATAATGGAAACAACCACCAACATTTCCACTGAATTTTCTGCTACAATGGATACTATCACAACTCCAAATGAATCTACCACTTCAGTTGGGCATAATACCACCACAACAGCTATAACCACGTTGACAGAAGTTACACCTAGCATGATTCCAACAGACCTTACAAAAATAACCACTTCAGTGGAACATATGACTTTTGAACCTACGACCATCATAACTTCTGAACCTACCACAACAGGCATCGCCACCAACATTTCCACTGAATTTTCTGCTACAATGGATACTATCACAACTCCAAATGAATCTACCACTTCAGTTGGGCATAATACCACCACAACAGCTATAACCACGTTGACAGAAGTTACACCTAGTATGATTCTAACAGACCTTACAAAAATAACCACTTCAATGGAACATATGACTTTTGAACCTATGACCATCATAACTTCTGAACCTACCACAACAGGCATCATCACTTCAAGTAAATCTACAAGTATCACCTCTTCAATTGATCCTGGAACCCATTAAACAACAGGTACTTCAACTGAATTTATAACCACAACAGAAACTATCATTCCAACTTAATTTGAAAACACTACAATGTCTACTGAACCTTTTGCTATTGCAATGATAACAATCCCATCCATTAAGATGACAACAAATGCAATCAGTACCACCTTGTCCATTGAACCTAAAAGCACTACAGTTTCTACTGAACATATTATACCTAGAGATACGATCACCACTTCAGCTGAAATGACGAACAAAACTTGAACTTCCACTTTTACTGAACCCTCAACCACAGCACCACCTGTCATTGAACTGAACCTGAACCTACCGCCAGTTCCACGGAGCCTAAAACTACAAAAGTCATTCCCACATAAAGTAAATCTACAAATACCATTAAATTTACAAGTACAAAAGCAAGGACCGAAACTTCAGTCACATTTATCACAACTCATAATTTTTTCAGAAGCTACTATCAAAACAAACAATAGTACTATAGAACTTATGACACTTCAGATAAATCTACCATTCCCATGGCTCTAACTACTTCAACTGAAGGAGCCGTCACAATGGGAATCAACATTTCAGCTACACCATCTTACTATCGGAACAGCCACAATCACTACCACTTTACCTCAATTTTCTACAGACAGTACTTGAAGTAAACGTACAATTTGCATGACTTTGACTGTACTGACTACCCCATCTGCCACTGCCACTTATTTAAACTAATCTTTCACAAAGTAGCCACCTCAATATCATCCATTCACTCTGCCGCAAATTTGCCACTAATCCTAGTTAAATGAAATGACAACAACTACTGTCAAGGTGACAGAAGCTACAACTATCATAGCTACCACCACTTCCAATGAACTGATAACTACAATCGGCCACTATTACTATTTTAGCTGAACTGAAAAGCACCACATACTCTACATAATTTACGACCACACAAGACACTATAATTATTTCAACTGAAGCTATGACTATGCCATTCACTAAGCTTACAACCATCACAAAACCAATACGTTAACTGAGTATCAGCTACCACAAGAAATGATGTAGTAAATGTGTCTGAAGTGGTGGAAGTAGTTTTGGTAGTTGTAGGATCAAATGATGTGATATTTTTCAGTTGTGTCTACAACCACAACGACAGTCATGATGTTGGGTTAACTGAGTACCAGAACTGTTCCCAGCACTGCTGAAAACAAACAAACACACAGACAAACAAACACCTGCAACAGCACAATGACCTTCTCATTGAAAAAGAATTTTTAATTATTATCCCTAGTTATTTCATTGTCTAATCCCCTCCCCTATTATCTCTTGTACTAAATTTATATCTATGACTAGTATTGTGATTCTTTAACCAACAGCAATACTTCATTGAAACTTTATTACAATCTCAAGAACAAAAAGAGAACCATTTAGCTCATTACCAATTAGCTCATTACCAATCCTCCATCACTATAATGATATAAAACCCACGTTTTCTTCTACATCCATTAAACTGCTTTTCACTAGATCTGAAATTTCAGTTTAAAATATTTGCAAGCTTCTTAAGGTTTCAGATCATGTAATTTGCATAGAAAGTGAATCTGGTTTGGTTTCTAAAAAGCCTTGTCTGAGAGATGTATGATAAAATCTCATAGTAAAATCACTATTAATATCTGCTGGTAATATCAATGTGTTTAAAAGACAAACTTTCAATTTAGGAGTGTTAAATAAACTTACATAGAGCACTTTAATTATTATATTTTGTTTCTTATGTATGCAATACAAAAATGTGGTTACTTAAGATTGTTTTGTCTTTTAGCATATTGGCTGCTATAACATTACTATAAATGTGCTTTTACTATTTCAAATGAAAGCATTAATTAAATAGTGAAGAAGATAACAAGAAAGAAAATAATTATGCAGAATAAGTAATAAAATTATTAATTTGAACTCTCATTGTTTGGAATTTGTACTAAGTGATGAAGTTAAAGTTGATACTTACAATGACTGGTCTCCTCTGGAAATCTACTCAAGCAGAACCAATGGGTGGGCCAGGAATATATTTTACAAATCAAGAGACATTGAAGAATTTTTAAAAAGAAAAATAGTTATTGTATTAGTCTGTCTTTTTTGCTTATAACAGAAATACCTGAAACTAGGTAATTTGTAAAGAAACAATATTTATTGCTTAGAGTTTCTGAAGCTGAGAAGCCCAAAGTTTAGGGAACACATCCGGGGAAGGCCTTGTTGCTGGTGAATATGGCAGGAGCAGAGAACTTGGGATTTCCTCATGCATTCTCCTTTTAGAGTCCTCAGAACTATGCCTATGACCACCACTAAACCGTTAATGGATCAGTCCATTCATTAGGGCATGGTACTCAAATCTAATCACCTCTTCAAGGCCCCACCTTAACAATTACCTTTATAGAATTTCTCAACCTCTCAACACTGTCACAGTAGAGATTAAGTGAGAGCTTTGGGGGGACATCCAATCAACAGTAGTTATCAAAACATACTGTAAAAAAAAATTAGCTATACTCAGACCTATAAAGAATGAACTCCTATTTAATATGTGATTGCAGTCAGGCAGGGGTGGGAGGGAATACTTTGCTTACCAAATAATAAGAAAGAATGAATGTTTAAGTAAAATTTCTGTAAAGTAAATATATTTCAATATCAATCCTGCTACTTAGAAATAACTAAAAAATTTTTTCATGTCATTTCAACAGAAATATTATTTTTGCTATTCGTCTGGTTACCATTATACATACTTAAAGGTGACATAATTATACATTGGATACTTAATTGGAATTAAATTTATGCAAATTACAATTCCCCTCTCTTCAAATTATTTCAATTAATCAAACACACACACATAAGCTTACTTTTAAAAATAATACACTAAGATTTTCACAGCTTGACCGTAGAAGGTGCTCAATAAATATCTGTTGCATGAATATATACATAAATGTATAAATAGATAAATGTTAATTGACCTGTGTATTAGTTTGCTGCTGTAACAAATTATCAAAAACTTAGGAGCTTAAAACAATACAAATTTAATATCCTTAAAACGGAATAGAGATGAAAAAAATTATCATCTCTAGGGGAGAGTACACTTTATTTTCTTATTCAGCTTCTAGAGGATAACCGCAGCCCTGGCTCATAGCTCCTTTCTGGCTTCAGCCTCTGCTTTTGTCATTTTGACTCTCCTGCCTCTTTCCTATAAGTACTCTTGTGGTTATATTTGAACCACCTTGATAATCCAGGATAATCTTTCCATCTCAAAATATTTAACTTAATCACGTCTGTGAAGTCCCTTTTGCCATGTAAGATAACATGGATATTGGAACATGTACATGGGGAAAGGGGTCACACAGACCCCTCACTGGCCTCCAAAGATTCATGTTCATCCCACATGCAAAATATATCTACTTAATACTAAGGTCCCTCCAGAATCTCAACCTATTACAGCACCAATTCAAGTTTGAAATATCATCTAAGCCTCACCAACTGAAAAGTCCCCATTTTTCATTATCTAAATAATCTTTAAATTAGGTATGGATGAGGCTCTGGGTCTAATCCATCCTAGAACAAAGCAGCTTTTCATCTGTGAACCTGTGAAACTAGAGGACAAGTTAACTTCTCCCAAAACACAATGGTGAGACAGAGGCTTCTCCAAAGACCTTTCTGGAAAAATCCCATCTTTATTCCTGGCTTCTGCTGAGATGGTTGAGGGGTCCAAGAATCACATGCTTAATTTCTTTAATGAGCTTTCTGTGTAATTGAATGCTATAACTTTCTATCCTTCCAAGGCACTAGCAAAAGTTGTTCAACCACACTTTTGACTTTCTCTCTAGACTATGCTTTCCTTGCAGTGCATATCCTCCTAATTTTAGCATCCTTTGCAATCTGGCTAGGCTGAGAATTTCTCAAATCATCAAGTCCTCATTTTTTTTATACTTAACAGTTTTTCTCCAAATTTATTTCTTTCCCCTTACATTTTACTGTAAACATCAAGAACAAACCAGTTTACACTTTCAACACTTTTCTTTGAAAATCTTTTTGGCTAAATGTCTAAGTTCATGCCCTACAAGTCCGCTTTACACATAACTGAATTGTGAAGGACACAATTCAGCTAAGAATATGCCACTATATAACAAGAATCACATTTCCTCCAGTTTCCAGTAACATGTATCTCATTTTCTGTTGATCCCTCACCAACAGCACATTTAATAACTATATTTGTTCCTACAGTCGATTTATAATGATTAAAGTGTTCTCCAAGGCAATATAGATTTTCTTTACCATTACCATGTTTTCACTTCCTTCTGAGACCTCAATAGCAGTTATTAACATCCACATTTCTACTGACGGTCTGTTCAGAGCACTATAGGCTTTTTCTATCATGCTTCTCAAAATTTTCCAGCCTCTTCTCTTTGCCTAATTCCAAAGCTATCTCCACTTATTTAGATATTTACTAAGCAACACCCCACTTCCAGGTTCCAAAGTCTGTATTAGTTTTCTGTAGCTGCTGTAACTAACATAAACTTAGAAGCTTAAAGAAACACAAATTTATTGAATTTCAACTCACCCAAAGCTATCTCCACTTATTTAGATATTTACTAAGCAACACCCCACTTCCAGGTTCCAAAGGCTGTATTAGTTTTCTGTAGCTGCTGTAACTAACATAAACTTAGAAGCTTAAAGAAACACAAATTTATTGAATTTCAACTCAGGAGATTAGAAGTCCTGAATGAATAAATCAATTTATAATTTCCTTACTCTACAATAAGTAAATATATATTCTTCTCAAGCTCACAGACAACATACACAAAAATTGACTATATACATAAAATAATTTTCACAAAATTTTAGAGTTGGAATTATTCACATTATTTTCTCTAACGATGAACAATTAAGTTACAAGAAACGAATTGATAAAATGAAGTCCTGAATGAATAAATCAATTTATAA